CGATGTCAAGACACTTTCGCGGGATATCGATCGTCAACGTCCTCCCCACGGTCGGGAACATGATTCCCTTCTTGCCCTTGGGAACATTGACCCCACCACGATCGATGATGTCTAGAACACAGAGAACGTAGAGGTCCGCGAGGTCGGAGACGTGAACGTAGTCGATACAGCCCGTCTCATCACCCAACGTCAATCCGCAGCCGTTTTTGAGAACGTAGCCCGTCATTATGGGGATCATCAGGCCCGCCTTGTTGAAGAGCCCCGCGCCGGGCCCGAAGATGCAAGGCGACTGGATGCTGACTGCGTTGACGCCGAGTTCCTCCCCGGCTCGGAGCACGGCCAGCTCTGCGGTTCGTTGCGGATACGGATCTTTTACGTCTTCGGCTTCTTCGAACTCATATACCTTCTCGGCAAAGGCGTCTTCATATTCGGCATCTGGCCTATTTACTCCAGTCAAAGGCTTGTCGGCGATATTGGAAGCGCCGGACGTGTGAATGATCCAGACCGGTCGTCCTCCGTTCCGGTCCTTGCGTTTAGCGAGACCGTGAACGAAGGCCTCTGCCGAGGGCGGGTGGAAACCTGAGCCTGCGTTGATTATGATGTCATGCTCAGAGGCAAGAGCTGTCAGGGCCAAGGTGTCGTCGTAAGAGGCAATGGACACAGGCTTCACAAGTGAACCGTATGAATCTGTGAGCTTTTTTACGCGGTCTGGTGTGCCGCGGACTGGTACCGTAATCGGAGAGGAAGAGGTGATGATGGAGGTGAGGGAAGGGTGTTTGAGGAGGTAGTGGAGCACGGAACCGCCAACATAGCCGGTTGCGCCGCTTAGAAGGATCTTTGGTGGTGGGTTCGAAGCTGTCATGATAGATAGATCGATGAGAAGCCGGTTGTGATCCAACAGTTTCAGAACAGATGAGTTCGCTGGGTTATCTAGAGGCCAGAGCAAGAATTCGACCTTCATATAGACAACCACACCAGCTTCGAAGATGACCACAGTCGAGGAGACCCTCTGCGGAGGGGTCCTCATTATCCCCCAACATTGCAGACAGCCAGAGACGCTCCCAGAAAGTTAAACCCACGAAACCAACAGAACCCTCGATTCTCAGCCCGCTGAAGAATCCACGGACCCTAGACGGCATCGATCAATCACCGTCAAGGGACCACCGGACCGGACTCCGCGCTCCGCTCGCGCGACCCAACTTTACATGCTTCTGTGTCATTGCAGTACGTCTTTCTCCACTTCCAAGGCTAGGACTTGCTGATTTAAGGAAGGTGTGATGCATGAACGTTGTTGGTGAACCAACAGGCTGAGCTGCACCAACAATCACTTGGGGTTTTGCATGGCCAACGCCCCGTGCCAGAAGCATTTCGGCCATCAATTTGGTAAGCTCTCCGCTTGATGTTGTAAGATCCTGAGCCCGAGGTTTGTGGAATACTAACTCTCGTTTTGATTCGCCGAAGCTGGTTCAAGGTTTAGCATGGCCTAGAGTTTGAGCCTGATTCTACTAGGTAAGTGTTCGATCACAAATCGGGCCTCGCATCGGGAACTTTGTCAACATGACGTCCATTCCAGCTAGTTGATGGCTTGATTATAATTCTTTCATTTACCCCCGCAGTATGAAGCGGCCTCTTATAGGCCAATCTTTGCTGCAAGATAGTGAACCGCAACCTTCGTAGTAAGGGCCAGAATGCCGGTGGCAGGGATCTTGTCGTCATCCGAACGCCTCTGCCAGCCAAGCTCGAATGGCAGTCTCTCGTTCTCTGTGAGAGTCGACGTTAGCTTTCTTGGCGGTTTCGGCGACAAAAGTTGGAACTTACCAAAGAAGTACTCAACCCAGGCTCTGTTGGCATTTCCATCGTCATAGTCCCCAAAGAGGCCAAGATACATGGCCGTTTGCCCCAACGAGTTTGTGTATCCGTCAAGCGGCAGCTTATACTCTGGGTTAATCTTCTCCGCGCTCTTCTGTCTTGCGACAAGTGCCTTGGCGGCATCACTGATGGAGATTATTTCTGAAGGCCAGTAGGACTTGGTCTCGTCGAATATTGTCTGGTTAAAAGACCAGTTGTCGCCAAAGTAGATGTCTGCACGACTCAGCGACGCGTCGTGCTCAATGAGATCGTGCTTGTTCAAGTCGTTGAGGTGGAAGGTGTCTTTGTTTCCGGTCGACGATGCCTCGAGGGCTTTGTTCCCCTGTAGGCGGAAGAAGAGTTTTGCGTCCTCGCGGAGATTGAGTCCGGCGTGCATGCCTTCGATGAGTGCGTCGACAGAGATGTTTTGGCCGTTTCTGGGGAGGTAGTCGTGGTTTGCGAGACTGTTTAGGAGGGGGCACGGGGCGCGGCCTAAAGATATCGAGGTTAGTCGCGATGCCATCTACAAACCAATGGCAGAGTCCTCCACTCACGATCGTTAGATCCTGGTGTCTGCCACGCATGTTCAGCATCTTGACACAGAGCCGAGGTTGTGAAAAGGGCGAAAGATAAAAGAGTGACGCGCATCTTGGCTGGGCAAAATCAACAACACGAACAAACGAACGACTGGTAGTTGGATATGAAAGAACCGATTAGACAAAGTGATCTGCAGGAATCAGCAGCAAATGGGCATCCAGATTCTAGATATGCTTCTGCCTTGATCGGCGGAAAGACCGATCTTGACCGGGGGACATGTCCAAATCAGGAAAGAGACACGGGCCACCCCGGGCTCCCCGATGGCCGGCCCCACGGCCAAGGACCGAATTGCGATGCCGGTGGATCGGGACCCCGTATTCTGGAAATTACTTCAACTTAAATTGAGTGCAACATCAGGCAGGCAGCCACACACGGAGTCCGAATTACTCATCTTTTTGACTCGTGATGATCCACCACCTTCTGCTTTCAGTATATATATGCACCTTTATATATGCGGTTGGGGACGAATCCGGACTCTTGAGGATGCCGCTCTGCCCTTGTGGCCTGTTTAACCCATTCTTGATGCCGTCTATCTACCGAAAGTCCGTCCAGCGCCGTTTACGTTAGCCCATTTTAGCTACAATAAAACAAATTGTTGCATTTCATACATGTGAAAAGCATCATCACTGGTCGCATAGTTGTTCTTGTGATGAATCAAACCTGTACCTCAAACCTGTACCTCAAAGCCATGCACACAAAGCTTTACGGCTTGATAGTCTGAGGGCTTGATCCTAGCACATGGCCAAGTATGCGACGTAGCCTACTTTCTTCACGCTGTTACACTGATCTTGCACTACTATGTAAGTCTGCCCAGCTGCGTCCCAGAGCCCTACTATTGCGACCAAATGGCCGTATCCATGGCCAAACACGCCAGCCCCCGCCCTTGAGGGGTAAATCCTCGATCTCTACAACTTCATGCCCCTTCTGTGCCAACGAAGCCATTTTCAGAACTTGGCATCGCAATGTCAGATCTTCTCTCTATCGCAGGCAGCATCGCCGGTATAGTCCAACTATCCGCATCCGTCTTCCAGCAGATCTTCAAGTTCATCAAAGATGCCAAAGGGGCTGAAAAGACCGTCAAAGATTTTGCTGACCAAACAAAAGAATTTTCCTGGCGTTCTGCAGAACCTTGCCCTACTTGCGTCGTCACTCGAGCAAGAGACCTCTATCTCGGCGTTCAAGGCACACCATCTCCACGCTTGTTGGCAAACTCTACTCGCTGTTGAGAAACGTCTAGACAAGCCGTTGTCCGGATTCAACGAAGGAAGTCGACGGCAAGCAGTGTAGCGCAGCCTAAAATGGCCTTTCTCCGCCGATGACACCCAGGGGCTGCTTGCACAAATTGAAGGTCATCGAAGAACTATTTCCCTGGCCCTGTCCACGGACACTCTCGAGAGTATGTTTGAAGTGTTTGGAAAAGCAAGACAGCATCATTGGAAGCACCAGTTCATTAAATCAGAAGGTGGAGCGCCTAACTGCCATCCAGACTAGAATCGAGTGTGATGAAAAGCGTCAAAAGATAGGCGGCTATTTCATGAAGGTCAATGCTCAGGTCAACCTACAAACGTCGAGTCGACTACGCCAACCACTGACCGGACTATGGCTCACAGAGAGTAATCCTACTTTTTTGAAGTGGGCTGACCTCCCGCGCTCCGGTCTCTGGTTGAGTAAAATCCCCGGGGCTGGAAAGACCATTCTATCCGGCATAGCCATCGAGAAGATCCTACAAAAAAGCAGCCAGTCTGTTGCTGTGGCATTCTTCTGTTGTGATTACAAGAACACTGACAGCCAGAAGCTTCTCAACATATTAAGTACGACAGCCATCCAATAAGCACAGCAAAACCACAAGGCCTTCAGAATTCTCGAGGAATACTATGGAGGATTGGAATCGGCAAGTGGTCTTCATGCAGAGCCTGAGCCAAAGGAACTGCTTGGTCTGATAACGATTATCCACTCGGTGTACGAGAAGGTCTTTATTGTTGTCGATGGGCTTGACGAATGTGAGGGCGACGCAGCGGATGTAGCTGAGGCTCTCAAACTTCTTTTGCAGACATCTTTGTCCGCTAGCATTGCTGTGTTCAGCCGGGATGAGCAGGAAGTTCGAGACGAATTTGCAGATGAATTCGCTCGTATTAAGATAGCAGCACATACGGAAGACCTCGAGATCTACATCCGTGCCGAGACTAGACATGGACTTAATGGACTTAGCACTCAAGGAGTCTCTTGCTCAGAAAATATAGTGCACGGAAGAAGAACTCAGTCCATTCCACGTCGCAGCTTTAAGATCAAATCCCGACGTCATGTAGCTTGTAATCGAACACTTGAAGGAGAGTCTATCTATTATTTGTGTAAGAGTAACCTTTCATTGCATGTATATTCTCGTTTACCGCACTACTGTTATTGGTGTTCAAAGCGACATCTACTTCATTACTAATGAAGTGTGCAGCTCGATGGTTCAATCTCATAAAGTTAACTTTGCACCTGCGATACCGATGTTGAAAGTGTCGTCCACTATGATGAACTTCTTAAGCACAGGTTCTGCAGGGGTTGAGGACCACTGGCCGAAGCAAGATGAATTCCGAGGCAGTCCTCTTCACTACGCCGTCATATCAAAGTGTGAAGCATCGCTTCTCCTACTTCTTTCACATGGCGCTGATCCGAACTCAATGGATGAGCGCCCAAGATCACCGTTAATAATAGCGGCGCAATACAACCTGACACCTATTGCTCAACTTCTGGTGGAGTCCAGTGCAGGCTTAGCCAGCTCGGATTGCGTACAGACGACAGCTCTTATGTGCGCAGCAGCAGAGGGAAATATGGGGATGATTCGAATTCTGGACCAAAGCAACTTGGTGTTATCGAAGACAGATCATAGTGGATACACAGCTCTTCATCACGCTGTGAATGGTCAGGATACCGCGGCTCGCATTTTCAAATACTTTCTTGGAAGAGGACTGGACCCAGTTTGCAAGAATTTCAATCCAACGAGAAGGGCAGCAATCTATGCTTTGAAAGTGGCATGGATAACAAGACTCTGGTTACGTACATCCTTAACCCCGACTTTCTTACTAGCATCGAAAGCCTTGACGTTCATAATCCTCTCTCGAGCGCTGTTGGGGACAATGATCATAGTCTTCTCCATAGACTTTGGCGAACTTTTGAGAAATACTGCCAAACTCAGGAATATCTCAATACACAGACGGAATATGACTACAGCCCTCTGCGCAGTGCAGCAATGGATGCCGACAAAGATACCTGCATCCGAAGACTACTGGACTACAAAGCCGACCCAAACAAAGAAGGTTGTCAACAAGGAAGCCCCTTGTTGGCTGCTCGCACATTAGGAGGTTAGGGACTGTCAAGATGCTTATTCGTGGCGGCGCTGTAGTGACCTATACCAATGCGAAAGGGACATATCGGAACGCCTTCACAACTGCGGCACCCCATCCTCACATTCAAGGTTGACTTCTTGTTGGCATATCTCAGGATCAACAAAGATTGTGTGCTGATTCATTCTGGAAGCGCTGCGATCCAAAATTCAGGCATTGGAGTGGAGTCTTGAAAGCTGAGTGGAAGCTAGTAGGCACAAACAAGCAGCTCAGAGACGCGCCTATGCTTGCTCATCTCATCTCAACAAATGTCACCGCCTCAAAAGATGGGCCAATGGACGAGTATGGGTTCGGTGAGTTACACCAGGATGCCACTGAAAAGGTTTCCACTGCGATGATTATGGGTCAGGATATTGTCTCTCCATAGTCATATCCTACCTTATGTCATGACTATCTGCTTTTTGGGTATCGTTTTTTAGATATGGATTGATGCCATGCCTGGCGCCGATATCAAAGACTGTTGATCAGCGCGGTGTTGGCCACTAATCAGGAATTAATACCAACGTCATCGCAGGCAGCGTCCACTCCCGAACTTAAATCGAATGTCGCAATCCATGCTATGTTAATAGTTATCTGAGAAAGGTCTCGACTCAGGAAGTCCTCTCTATGCGGTTATGATCGCTCATTGAACAAACCGAAAGTCCGTTGCAAGGGTGACCCTTCATCCCTGTCGACGTCAGAGATTCGAATGTAGTAACAGGCTCATTGCACTCACATACTGATGCAGAACAGTTTGTGATGTCAATCATCTCGTGAAATCGCTGTCTTTTCGTAATTTCTGGCAACACGCCGGCCTTCTGATGATACAATACACCTTTCCAGGCGGTCCGGGTAATGCTACCTAATGTATGGTGGTAATATGACGTGTCGACGGAAGCACAGTTGACATGATCTGAAGACACTGGCACCCTCCCATCGGCCTCATGATGCGTGGGCGTCATAAACCAGGTTTGAAGCCTCAATCGGTGTATGTCCCCATGCCGAGACATGAGATATCAAATTCGGCTTCATGGCCGAAAGTACTTACTGATCCTCCAGATCTACCGATGAGGGTGACATGCCTACTGATTTCAGATATAAACCCAGGCCTTCATGGCTAACCACCATCAATATACAAGCCAAAACGGCACCGCAAACATAACTTGCTCTACACTACAGCACACTCCAGCCATTTTTTCTTTGTACCTACATACAATACACGAAATTTTACACCCGCTATCATTAAAATATCACAAGATGAAGACTCAGATTACCATCTTGACTTTGATTGCCACCGCAATCTGTAGTCCAATTCTCCTAGTCCACCGCGCCCAGGTCGATACCGCAGTTCAACTCCAGAGCCGCCAGACCGGAACAATGGCAAAAGAATACACTCAAGGAGGCTGCCGTGATGTCATCTTCATCTTCGCCCGGGGGTCTACGGAAGTCGGAAACATGGTAAGTCCCCGCCGCGCTTCGGAGTCCCATATCCGGATCAGCCTAGGCCGTATTCGCGATGTGAATGAGGGGGAAGACGCACATACACATCAGATGACTGACGTCAAAATGTCCAGGGCTCAACCGTTGGACCTCCGACTTCAGACGGTCTGAAGAAAAAGTACGGCGACAACAAGGTGGCCACAGAAGGAGTTGATTACGCCGCTGGCCTTACGACCAACTTCCTCCCCGGAGGAGCTGATCCCGTCGGTGTCGATGAGATGAAGCGGCTTTTGACCGATGCTGCCAATAAGTGTGGCAAGTCCAAGATCGTGGCTGGAGGTTATAGGTATGCATGTTGCTGTGCGTCAATGCAATATCAACGACTTGCGACTGACATCGGAATCTTCTATAGTCAAGGAGCTGCCACTGCACATCGCGCAATTGAAAAACTCCCTGATTCAGCTAAGGGCAAAATTCTGGGAGTCGTCACCTATGGCGATACCCAAAATCAGCAGGACAAGGGCCAGATCCCCAACTTTCCCAAAGACAAACTGAAACTCATATGCAACGAAGGCGATAAGGTGTGCACTGGCACTCTCGAGATCACGCCCGCTCACCTTGACTATGAACGCCATGTTCCCGAGGCAGTTGACTTTTTGACCGAAAAGATCGGCAATCTTTGACATTTACCACAACTTGCACACCAGATGCTGTTTGGCCCGGTACCATTTGGTGTATGTATTGATTTAGAGAACATCACGGAGGACCACAAAACAAGCGAGGATGGCGCTGGGATAGCTGGAACTGCTGAATCATGTTCTGATATTGTAGATAGAGTTGAACGCAATTAAAGCATCTTGCCAAACTTGATCATTTCTCTACTGAGGCCATTCAAGAATCAAACTCACAGTCAATATGTTTGATGAGGCTCAAGCGTGACGACAGCAGCATGTGAGACGCTCGTCCAGTCTCTCATACGACTGCCTAGTTATCCAATCTAACAGTACATGTATTATGTACCTTGTCCTAAGTAAGGTACGTACTACAATATTGAAATTGTCTGAATAAGATTGCGACGATTTGTGACAGTAGCTCGTCCCCAATTCTTCCGCCCCTCCCTTACTCCCGGGCTCTTGCAGTCATCATATCTTCTTTAATGATGTCAGCGGCCCTTTCGGCAACCGCATAAACAGTGCTCTGGATGTTACCCAAGGGCTCAATCGGGAAGACACTAGCATCGACAATGCGAAGATTCTTCGCCCCATAGAGCCTCAGTCGCTCGTCAACAACGCCACCATCCTCCCGTGGCATCATGGCACAACTGCCCGAAACATGGAACACCGAAATCTGTCTTTGACGCACAATCTCTTTGGCAGTCTCCAAGTCGTCACCCTTCAACTCGGGCAAGCGTTTCCCTCCAGGCTTGAGTAGCGAGCTGAAAGGTTCAGTGCCCACGATTCGCTCGACAAACTGGACGTTGTGGGCCAGAAGCTCCAGGTCGAGGGGATTTGAGTTGTATTTCGGATCCCACGTGGGCAACACTTTGTAATCGGGGCTGGTAATGTGGACCGTTCCCCGAGAAAACGGATGGTTCAAGACCGTCATAACAGTGATGTAGTTCTCCGGCTTGGAAGGCAAGATGTACTCGGCCATGTTGGCTGGATGATCATTAATCGTGATTTGAGATGGGAAAAGCAGGTATTCGCTGCTTGGCTCGTCCGATGTCTCGATGAGAGAGCGCACAAGCTTGCCAGTCGGTGAGCTCGCATGAATTTCATGTGTAGCCAGCAGAGATTTCTTTGCGTCTTCTGACAACGGCCCGTTGTTGTCGGCGAGAGGCGTGTAAGCAGCGCTGATTGTGCTTTGGCCCAGCGGACCCTCGCGCGTGGCCATGTACTGGCCGACAACGGCGTTGAGAATGTTTCCGTCTCGGAGAACATCCGCTGACGGCACTCCTTGATTGACCTCAAAGCTTTGACAGACAATTGGGTGATCCTGCAAGTTCTCTCCAACATTGGAATTGTCAATCACCACAGGAATGCCATGGCTCTCGAGCAAGTCTCTCCCACCAACGCCAGACAGCTCCAATAGCTGAGGTGTTTGGAGAGTTCCTGCAGCAAGGATCACTTCCCCTTTCGACTCAATTATCTTCTCCTCGCCGGTCTTGCTGACAATGAGAACGCCAGTCGCAGAAACACCGCCACCGGCAGTATCAAAGATGACTTTCTTGACCTGTGTCTCCGTCAAGACTACCAAGTTAGGCCGTGCAGCCACTTCCGGTGTGTAGTAAGCGCTCGCCGCAAAGCTCCTTGTCTTGTTCTCCGGATCAATGCTGCAAGGGTTCTGAAAAGCCCCATGAGCCTTCCCACTCCGAGGATCACCAGTCACGCCGAGGCCAAGCTTGTCGAATGTGCTCATCCATGCAGCGTTCATGGTGCTGTAGCCTTCGCCAAACGAGACCTGAATTGGGCCTTTTCCGCTCAAAGTCTCATCGTGATAGTCCAGCCCAACCATGTCCTTTGCGGACTGGGGAGGAGGATGATCGGTGCCAAACTTGCGGAAATAAGGCGCGAGCTCGTCGAAACTCCAGCCGGCGTTGCCAAGCGCACCCCAGGCATCTAGAACTCCCCTTGATGGATACAGCATCAACATGAAGTTCAATGCAGAGCTGCCTCCAAGCATTTTGCCTCGTGCTTGGTTGATTCTTCGGTTGTTCAAACCAGGCTAGCAAAAGTAAGCGGAAGTATAATTGCAGTTGGCTGGTAAAAGAGTTGGCTCACCTGAGGAACTGAGGTGAAGTTCCAGTCATATTCATCCTTTCCATAGACGCCTGCCACTAAGCCAGGCGTCAGGACCAAAGGGTCTGAGCTCTTATCGGCACCAGCTTCAACAACGAGGACACGAGTGCTGATATCTTCGCTGAGCCGAGAAGCCACAACTAGACCTGCTGTCCCACCACCTACAACAATGTAGTCAAAAGAGGAATCGAGATCTTGGAAAGACATGGTATTTTTTCTGAGTTTTTGGCGACCGTGTTCAAGATCACAAAATGAGGAAAGATTGTAACTTCAGCGTCCACAAGGGAGTTTTCTTGTCTCGACTGACGTGACTTCGTCTGGGGTCCAAAACCAGGATGAATGGCTATTGACATCCCACAGTAAGCAATTAGGAACATATCCAGCCAACTGCATGAACCTAGCCTCTACTGGTAGAATAGCCCGCAATATCCTGGTCAGAATCCACTATCGCAGTCTTTGGTTGCATTCGTTGGTCCTTTAGGAGGGAGTACCAACACAGCCAGACCAAAGTTCATCACGCTTTCTTTATTTCCGGGCGAATAGCTCATGGGTTCTGAGCGATATTATTCCAAGAAGGCACAGCACTTCGGTGTTATATCTACTCGTAGACCGAAAGCGAGTTTCACTTTGCAAAGCGTCAACAACGGAAGTCGTGTCTATTCATAGACATAGGCTTGAATAAGTGGATATTGAGATGCATGTATCTCGCCTATTCTCCAAGTCTGTAGCCTTCCGCAAGTCCACATTTGTATTCGCACTTTGACAAGGTCGAACTGGAGATTCTGTCACAAGTGTAGTTCCGCGGATTCAGGCACCTCTGACTTTAGGTCATGGAGGAATCCAAGACGCATCCTTATCCCGAGTGCGCATTGCCTCGCAGATTTCATCTTGCTGACCATGAGCTTGTTAATGAAACCAGAAAGGGATGGTGTCACGCGCAAACCCAGGAAAGTCCATCTAACGGTTGGAGCTAGGGACGGCACCACGGATCTCGTCCCGCGGCAAAACTCCCCGCGCCGCACTCATTTGAAACATACGGATCGGCGCAGAACTTTTGTGTGGATGGCGCAAGCCTGTGGAGCACTGCAGGGGATTTGCTGCAGGCTTTCCAAAAGCTGCAACGCTAGCAACATCTATCGTACCATGCGTGCTATGCCAACAGTCCCAACCAACGATTACCGTGGCGCAGAGGGGGACTCTTGAAGAATGCGTGCATTGGACTTAGTCCGCACTGAAGCTGTTATGAAGAAGACAGGCAGTTGTCGCTGGATTGATTGGCTTATTCTTATCCTCCCGCTGGCAAGCGCCTGTGAGCTTGAACATTGTGCAGAAGCAGCTGGGCTGTTTTCCTGTGGTTGGTGTTAATGAAGTGTCAAGTCACGCTAGCTGCAGTAGTCGGCTTCGTTAAACTTTGAATAGTCGCAAGGAAACGCCAAATTTCTGGCATCACCTCTCACTGTCAAGGCCTAGACTCTCTAGACTGCAGTGACAAAGTTCAACCCGTTCCGTCTTGCGGTCTCCAACGGCTGCATTATTTCGGTCAGCTTGGCATAGTCGCTGAAGACTCTGGCTAGCCTGAGCCTAGCGTGAACGTAAGATCAGCGGATGTTGGGCAGCTGTGCCGCATACGAGCATGGCAATTTCCGCTTGCTGTGATGCGGAGGTCCTCGTTCCCGTACTAGGTCGCCTCACAGTGACAGGTCCAACACCAGTGGTCGGCCGGCAGGATGAAAACGAGCAGGGGCTCTAGCGAGCTCCAAACCTCCGTGTCTAGCATGTTCAACAGCAGAATATCTTCAGAATCCAAAAATGGGATGATGCGTTGGTTTCTTTACGTTGTTTTGGATCCTGTCCAAATTCGAATGATCGCGCTCGACAATCTTTCCTTCAGTCTCTTTGATGCGAGATGTAGACAGCACCTTCTGGGTAGTTCTCGCCACTGCCCACTATCATGGCGCTCCATGCTGTCGACTTTCCAACCTTGCCGGTAGTCAAGGGTCATCTTCTCGTGAACTGCATATTGGTACTCTTCGCAGTTCTCATAGTCACGCTTCGTTTCTTCGCTCGCTTCTCTTCGGGGGCTAAGCTGTGGTGGGATGATCTCCTCATTCTCCTTGCAGTGCCTCAGGGCATCGGGATGTTGGTAATCCAAGGCTTGTGTAAGTACCCGGCCCCAGAGCGGAGAACATAGTTCTGAATGAACCTGACGAACCTGCAATCAGGGTCGCCTATGGGTATCGGTTACCCGATCACAGACACCCTTCCAAATATCGTCATCATCCTCAAACTTCTAGTTGCCTACGAGTTCATATTCGCGACCTGTATCAGTACAATCAAACTCAGCGTCATGTTTTTCTATCTTCGGGTCTTTGTCAACCCAGGACTCCGGACCGCGACAAAATTCGCCATGGCTTTTGTCATGGTCTGGACAACGGCCAACATCCTACAGGTCTTCTTGATTTGCCATCCATTCGAGGCAACATATAATCCAGCTGTCACGGGCAAGTGTGGAAACCAGATAGCATCGTTCATCGCCATCGGTGCTTTCAATGTCATTACCGACATCATGATTTTGACATTGCCAATATCGACTGTCTGGGCACTCAAGATGAGTACGCCGGCCAAACTTGGTATCATCGCCGTCTTCTCAACAGGCTTGATGTATGGCTGCCCTTGTGCCCCTCCCTTTCGGCTGTAGACTGACAAAAAGGCGAAACAGAGTGAGCATAGTTGCCATTATCCGCATCGTTAGCCTCACCAACCTCGATCTCCAGAACTTGACCGAAACAATGATATGGGCCGATTTTTGGTCGACCGTGGAGCCGAATTTGGGTATCATATGTGTTAGCATGCCGATGCTGGGATCACTGTACTCGCGGTGCACAGCTCGGCGGGGTGCTTCAAAGCTCGACGGACCTTCGGATGCCAGCGGCTACAACAATTCAAATAAGTTGAGACGATCGCATCCAAGCGCACCTGATACTATCGCTTTGGCCACCATATATTCCCCAGAGAACGATGTACACTATAAGTCAGAGGTTGCTTCGTTCGGGCGTAACGGAAAGAACGAAGATAGTGGGGATGACTTCGAGTCACGCCTGACCCCTGAGCAAGAGCTTTTGGGCAGAGATAAAGTGGTACAGGTAGAAACGCAGTGGACTGTGTCTCGCCAAGAGGCTTGATGCGTTTATTTACGAAGAGATCCAAGACTTTCATTTGTAATGAAAATGACTTTTCGATCCGATCGCTGTCGGCTTAATTGTAACTGAGTAAGGCAGTTAAGGTGGCCAAGTGCGAGACTACATATAACAATGCCAAAGCTCGCATATTACACTTGGACAATTGATGACGGTTTTCAGAACTTGTGGACTGAACACATGGCATTATATTAAATGCTCCCCTTTAAGCTTCTTTGAAAAACCTTCATGAGGTAAACAGAAATAAACTACAATTAGGTAGCATGGCGTCACTCGGCGCCGCCTCTTATAACATCCCGAAGCCTCGGCAATCGCTACCCAATTAGGAAAACCGGACCCGACGCCGACTAGCACGGGCCGTGTCTGCGTGGCCGTTCGACTCGTCTTTGCCATGACGTCTCGCGACGGCCCCGAGATTTTACAAATTTTCGGCTTCCTTCTTTCTACTTTCGTCTGCTTTCGGAAATCCAGCCCATATTGGACAGCGACTTTACCGAGTATGCCTAGTAACGCCTCGAGTTCTAGAACCCACAAGTCGTGCGATGCATGCACGTCGCGCAAAGTTCGATGTCCAGGTAAGCGTGCTTGATGTTGCGTCGACATGTGCAGATATCTTAATGGAAGGGTGGCTAATTACCAAATCAGGCCCAGGGTCATCTGGAACTTGTACCAATTGCACGGTAAGATTTAGCAACTGACGGCATAATTCTCGCGCCCTCTTTCGACTCCTGTAATGACAGAATTTCCGCAGAGAAGGAAGAGCGAGTGCGTTTTCGGCGTGAGGAAACTGGCCCGCAGGCCAAACAGTACGTACTTTTTTGTTGCCATGTCCAAGGCAAAATCGATTTTATGTCTTCGGGGCTCTTGAGGATTCGTTAACAATCTTACGGACGATTAGTCCAAAGACAATTTTTCCCTACGAGCCGGTCTTCCGGCACGCCTGATGAGATACAACAAGGGTGCACCGTATCGGTTTTAGACTTCGCAACACTGCCAACACCAGCATCCAAGTCACCGGATCCGACAATCTCGGAGAAATCATCCACTCCCGATCCAAACGCCCGACGGCCCGCTCCGCACCGGATTCCGGAACTCTACGTGGATCGAGTACTCGATAGAGCCCGTAAAGCTCCGAGATCAGCCAGGCCTGCCGAAGCCTCCAACTACGTCAAAGTAAGCCCATGTTGAATGCCCCCACTTTCTTGGACGTCTGCTCACTCCCCAAAGGGTTATGGTATTTTTGGTAAGTGTGATGTACTCTGAGGGGAAATTCCATGTCCCGCCCTATCATCTCACATATCCAATGACGCCCTAACCAGTAAGTCATAGGCGGCACAAAGAATTTGACCTTCTTTTCTGAAGGGAGATTGAAATCCCTCGCACAATGCCTCGGTCATGAGAAAGTCCATGATCTAGTCGGGCGAATTGCAAGAGCTGTTGAGGAACGCGGAAGGTTCGTCAAACTACGTGCTTGTAGTTTGAATCGTCAACCAGAGCGCCCGGCCTGCCTTGACGATAAAGCTCTTCTCGCAAGGTATGTCAGATGTGAGTAACATGTTTCTCCCACTCTTCTGGACTGCGCTTTGCAATGGGGCTTATCATAAGTAGTATATTTTGAACAAGTACACCCTCGGTTCCCGTTCCTTGACCGCGACGCATTCGAGAGGACTGCTTTTAGTCAAGATCAGCCTCACTCTGCGCCCAAAAGCAAGTCATGGATATGTCTCTATCACTCCGTTCTTGCTCTTGGTTGTCAATACGACGGTGGTGGGTCTTTTGAGCCAGGGGAAGGTGATGCATGGAAGTTCTTCTCCATCGCTCTAGCCAACTTTGCCGATTTGATTATGCTACCGGACACTCTTACAACTTTCCAAGCTGTGGTAGCAATGATGATATACTCGCTTGGTATTGCCGGGATTGTGCTAGAGCATGTTCTCATGTCAGAAGCTGCCCGGCGAGCACAGAACCTCGCCGACGCCAAGTTTGTCGGAGGAGCAGCAGACGCATTCCGGCGGACCTTTTGGGTGTTTTACTCTCTGGAAAAGATCAATAGCTTCCATCATGGTAGATCGTCTGTAAGATCAATCCCTTGATTGACTAGTTTTGTCTCTCATGACTGACATCCCCGAAAAGGCAATCATGGACTGCGATATATCCTGCTCCGTTCCGTCCACACCCGAATCCTTCTTCTCTGGCGGCTTCGACTGGTTTCTATGTTTCGTCAGCCATGCGCGTCTGCTATCACGGGCAAACACGTCGCTTTTCTCTGTTGGCGTATCCGACAATCCCGGAGAGTACCACCTAGACATCATCGACCAGCTTCTGGACGAGCTCGAAGATTGGAGAAACTCACTACCGGATAACGGCTTCAGGCCAGGTGGCTGGGTCAAACCTCACTCAATCGTCGAAGACCAAGAGCGTACAGTTGCTCTAGTCACTCACTTTCTTTACTACAGTTTCCTCTTGACGATTTCTCGAATGGCTTTGAGGTACTTGCCAGTGTCAGAAAACTCTCCAGACTGTTCTCGTCGAGATGAGACTCTGAACACCGTAGAGCATAGTGCTCGTTCTTTGCTAGAACTGATCTCGATAATAGACATGTCGCCCTACACACCCATGTGGTAAGTCACGCTTCCGATCCCAGTGTGCTTTGACTCACATTGATCGTCACAGGATGATGGCAACAATCCCCATCATGGCCTTTTTTGTCTTATTCGATCTCGTCATTCACAATCCTCGGCAAATTCATACAGCAACCAACCTGGCGTTGCTTGACGTTGTAAAGAGCCACTGCAGCCGAATGGAAATGATCTCGAACGGTGCGATACCAGGATCCATGGTCGGCGAGTTTGCACAGATCGCTCGAAGTTTTGTAAACGAGGTCAACGGACGGAGTCCAACCGGCCTGACGCCACATGCGCCTTCTGAAGCATTCCAGGCACTCTCTAAGCAGCCTCAATGGTCATTGCCCCAGCAAACTGATTATGACGTCAATTCAACGGAAATTCACACGGACTTCTCGACCGTAAGTAAACCTATCACTGGCCACCGTCAGCGAGCGGTACTTCACAGGGGTGCTGTAGCATTAACGGAGATATTACAGATGAACTTGGCCTCTAACTCGACTATGACGGGACGTATGGATATTGAAGCACCTGCGGTTGTCCCCAGTCCGCTCATCGGAACTGACGTGATGAATCTCTTCGAAGGCTGGCTTCCCGACCTGGATCCCATGTTCTTCCACACTATGAGCGCTCAGAACAACATGGACCAATCGACCTCTCAGCATGAATTCCCGATTTCCTCGGATCCGTTATATGGACATCCCTCTTGACGTATGATGTTATTGTACGCAATAAGCTCGCGTTACGTGGTACATCCCGCAAAATATCAAGATTCAATTACAATATCCAGTCAGGCAGCCTAAATCGACGTGCATAACATTGTGAAATCAGTCGGTCCCTGGATTTCCCCCCTCGAGGAACTTGAAGAATGTCAGACGATTGCCATCGTTATCCTTAATGGTAAATTGACGGTAACCCCAAGGCGTATCTCGGATTGCTTCGACAACTTCGACTTTTCCCTTGGCCATCAAAAGGTCGTGGAACTGGTCCAGACCTGCCGTGCCCAAGGCGATCATTACTCCTCCAGGGTGGAACTCGTTTGGTTCGCACAGAAAGAAGTAGATGTTGGCAGCAGCCTTGTTTCCTGTGAAGACGGAGCAAAAGTAAAGCGGAGAGTCATCGTCGTTCTCGGGCTTGGTTCCGCCCAGGGTGAACCCCAGCTCGCTCGTATAGAAGTCGACTGTGGCAGCGATATCCCGCGAGCTAAGCGACGGGATTATCTTCCAAGCCGACGCGATACCCTCGCCTTCGGCCATTTACGTGAATTCGGTGTTTGGCGCGTAACCTTTTGCCCAATCCCCGACGGGATAATTACATGCGTTAATGTTGTCACTTCGTGGTATTCGAGACTGGGGTCTGCCTGATCGCACGGATCAACGCAGCTTCTCCCTCCTTCTTTATGCACTCCGCGTTAGGGCAGTTGGGGCAGCGCAAGTATATCAGATGGTTTGGGTGAACGGACACCGAGGGCCGATCGATGACTGATGTCTATAGCTATGTCGCCGTGGTCGCCTAGAGAATATGGTGTATTGAGAGAGCGGTGAAGAAAATTCTAAACCGGACCACCGGCTCTACATGAGAGAAGTTTCAGACGAATCGGTTGCGGTGGGTGGGATGGACAACGTCATGGTCACACTCCAGTCCAAGCCCATCCACGTGAGAGAGACACATCTTTTTTCTTTCTTCTTCTTCTTCTTGGCCTTTCTCTTTCAGCCACCTCCTTGGGTATTTCCCCTCTTTTTCATCCGAGACTTTGCTCCATCGGCTCCGTCAGCAAGCCAAGATAGTAACTCTAATTCATTGGCTAAACGTGGCCTAGCTCGGGATGCTTCCGTGTTTTCGTAGACTAGATGTAGTTGAGGAAGGACCAGGTAGACCGAACTCAAAATGCACAAGTCGCTCGGCACTGCTGACTGGCCCGTCATCGGAAGTGACCCGCGTGAGGGGCAGCTCAAACTAAACTCGTTTGTTCCTGGATTAGCAAACTCTTATGCCGTCCGAGTCAACAACGTCGGTGATAGGTGGCTCGGCGCCGGCGCGCGCGGGGTTTCCAAGAGTTCGAAAATAGCGGATTCTCGCCAAGAGTCGCAGGCCAAAAAGCTTCATTGCATCGCATTAGCAATAAGGTATCGATCTCCTTCAAGCCTTTGTTGCTTTATATTTAGACGGTTGGTGGGAGCTCTACCTCTGATAAACAGGAGCAGTAAGATTATGTTTGCAGCGGATAATAGCACGACTTATAGAGTGTTTCAAAACATAACATTTCATAAATCAACCCGTGTATACATGGTTGGGTATTAACTAAGAACTAGAAGGTTCGTAGATTCATTACTGCGTTCATCATTGCGCACTTGAGAACTGTAATCGTCGCCGCAAAATTGCAGCTGAAGCAGCTAAGAAAAACAACATCGCTTCAATACATACGTGTCGCCTCTTTATATAATTTCATATCTGCGCAGAACAGCAAGTACCAGTGGCGGAATGCCACGGAGATCGTTCTCATCGGGGCCAAGTCTGGAAAAGTCATCATTCCCCCTGAGGGCTTCTTGAGCAGCGATGTTTGCTTCGGGTGTATCAGCGGCACTGATATCCGCAAAGGCAGCTTCCGCGTTGGGAAAGTTGGTGACCGGAATAGCCGCAGCTTCAGCTTCGGTGACAGGACCCGCAAGAGCCTTGTTTCTGTCGCCAACGCCAAGGGCTCTTGCTACACCGGCAAGAAGATCCGTGAGCACGGGCACGGCCTTGGATGGGATCTTGATCTTCCCAGCACGACCATCGTACTCGTCGATGGCTGCTGTGAAGTTTCCTTGGATTTGGTCGCTGATCTGGGTAGCGATGGGTTGGAAAGTCGGATCAAGAGCTTTGGTGAACTAGGCAAGAGTTAGGCAGGCACTCCTCTGGGGCACTCCTCTAGATCACAGAAGACATTTGACTTACTGCACCACCCAAATCTCCGGCCTTGTCCTTTTGAATGACCACAGAGTCGCGAATAAGGCTCCTCACGTCCAAGATCCTAAAGCCAGCCTTGTCAAACTCTGGGCGCTTACCCTGGACCTCAGTCAACAGGTTATTGATCTCCGGCTGGAGGCTAAGGAACTGTGTGCCGATCTGAGTGCTGCAAGGGACAGGGTTAGCACAGACATTCCGATCTCCCATCGGAAAATTTCAAGAAACGGCGACTTACGATTCGTTTGCCGGCAGGGTGTTGGTGGCCTCTGCGGACTTTGTGCTGACATCGATGGTACTTCCAAGGGTAACAATCGCCTCGTTTACTTTCAGCAGACCCACCAAGCCTTTGAGTGAGCCTCCCTCAAAGGGGACAACTGTATCATTGGCTTCGGCAACCCTCTTTCGAAGATCTGCGATTTGGTTTTGGAGGGCTGCAGCTCCTCCCCTGACGGGTTGTTTGTCACCTTTGCCTCCCTTCCCTTTGTCTTTGTCTCTGCCACCGCGGCCTTTTGCTTCTGTTATCGGCATGGCCATCTGGGCACTAGCCACGCCAAGGCAGAGAAGGAATGATAGGAGAACGTAAAGCCTCATCCTGATAGGCGATTTGGGATAAGTCGAAGAGTAAACGAATGGGGCAAAGTTGCTGAGAAGATGATGGTATACACCCGTGATAGGTAATTGTCTGCTTTAGGACTTCTGGCTCGGGCATGCCGGAGAAGATCGTGGGATGAGCCATCACGTAAATACTCAGAATGGGACTTTCACGAGCCGTGACGCCGAGGCAAATTCAGCTACAATGTGAATGGCTCTTAATAGTCGAACAGGGCTAAGGGTAGATGAGGTAACGGCTAGCCTGGCCCCAAATTGACCAAAGAGCCGAAATCCATAGAATCGGCGACTTTGTGACGGGCCATCGCGCCGGCAGGAATCCCAAATCTCTGGGCAGCAGCAAGGGTCGAGCATGATGCCACGCGGGGTTCAGTCTGTAACCACAAAATTTCTCATCGAATCCATGCCCTTGAATCTATACAAGCATATAAGTTGGGGGCCCCGTGGGGAACTATGGGCTCCCCGCGAACTGGTGCTGAGGCCCCCTTATGAAACACGGTTGGGTGTGAGGCTCTGGACACCATCTTACATGTTTGACCAATCAGACACCTGATGTTTCTGAGTAGACTCGCAACTTATACTTTTAAAGTCGTCACCTACAGGGGAAGACTTCGTCAACCTACCTGCTGATCCTATGGTCCATATAACATACGGGTGCCTTAACAACAAGAGCCGCGAATAAATGTCTCGCACCTTCCCTCGGGGTGGACGGGGGCTTTACTACCCATGTCACCCTCCATTCTTGAATGAAGAGGGTGGCCACTGGTGGGATGTGATGAAATAGGGATGTCGCTTTCGCTATGCAACGTTCGTGAAGTCCTGGGTGCACCCTCCATCTCCCCTTTCAACTTACGTCACCATATAGAGAGACTGCCACCAGACGATGGGTAGATTCTGCCATGCATCGGCTGAAAGAGGGGGATCTATTAGTCTTTCATTGTCTAGACCGCCGCCAAGGTTTCCTGCCCGTGATTTCGCGCAATTGGAGTTCATGGGCTCGATCAAATAAGGGATAAGTGGGAGAAAGCATCCATTGTCGGGCTTTTTTGACTGCCCATCACATCCACCTCCTCGGGTTCGGTGAAGTCATTGAGCCGTTGCCCGGAGGCCTTTGGACCCTTGGCTCACGCTGGCCATCCGATGCAATGACTGTAAGAACAGATGATGATCATGGTCTATGAAATCACTCTCGCCTATCGCATCTCACGTTCCTTCTCCTTTTACAAAACTTTGAGACACCGCTACCGGAGTTCATCTGCTGAGCTTAGATGGTGGGCTACTAGGGCCCTCTGACGGCTCGGAATTGAAAACCACACAGATGCTATGATCTTAGTCGGAGCTCAAGATCTGAGTGATCTCATGGCGGTCATCTTCGATAGGGTTGCCGGTAGATACGACACCGACGCTAACAAGCAGCCTCTCTTGCCTACATGCACTGCGTTGTATGATCAAAAGTACGGTCGACAGAAACTATCATTTCTTGCATCCTCAAAGCTGACAGGTTGATATGTAATTCTCGTGATGTCCTAATCAGGCATCTGCGGGAGATTTCAATGACTCTCCTACCCATTTGAGTTCAGTTCTGCAAACCTAGGCGGTTCTAATCTGATCACGCGATTCGTGCCCCGCACCATGGTTTGATCGGAGGTTGGGGGACAGCGGGAGGGAAATAGAAGAGAACGAGGGGAGAAAAAGCAAGTAGCCGCTGCGAAAGTCTAGACCAGCACGCAAGCAGCTCTTTGAAGTGGAGAACTACCCGTCTTAGAATTCCGGTGACCCAACACGGGAACGCAGAACTTCGGGCAAGGAAGGGTACCCCTAGGCAAGCGATGCTAAACACCGAGACGGCGTCCGAGAAACGCGAAGGAGGTCGGGTCCGGTGAGAACCTTCTAGTTAGACGAACAATAAGCTTAGGTATGTGCTCAAGCTAAGCCTTACAACCAAGAGGAATTAGCGTCTACTCAACAGACTAATGTAAGGGTAAAGGGCAAACAGAATAGCCCCCGCGTTCTCGTAAACGTACAAAGCTGAAACAATTCTACCGTCGATCAATCTTACTTGAGGCTCTGAGAATGATTCGGCACAGGGCAAGAGTGCTCTGTGCTCCCATCCACATTCGAACCAGCTTGGACTTGGGAACGCGGTTTCGGACAATACTGTCCCGTTGAAGTTATTTATGTCAAAAACGAAGTAATCAAGTAGGCTGACAAAATCCAGCTGAAGTCGCTCTGACATCACCACGAGAAAGGATGGAATCATCTAAGGAGATAGTACAGAGATTGCGAGTCTCTTTTGCTAGATGATGATATGAGTACTCTCTCTCGAATCACCATTCGTTCATTCGGACGAATGATGCGATTGATCCAACTTTTTGAGAAGTACATAATTCAAAGTAGCAATCAGCCCTCCAGTAGGCGGACAGATTTGCTGCCAAGTGATGTGAATAGTGGCCGTCAGGATGGGGTGGATAAGTTGCAACGACACATTCCTCAGTACATCATAGACATGACAGCGAAGAACTCTGAGAAAATGAAATTGTGTTGGATGCAGTTCAGTTCATGATTGATACCCAACCCGCTTCATCTACATAGCATTTGTATCTGGCTAGCTCACTTGGGTAGGAACGCCCCATTCTGCTGACGGAACATTTCCTTCTGCCACGTACTCCTGATTTCTAATCAGGTCTCGGGTTTTTGAGGGTCGACAAAATGTGTCCTGGCAAGCTTTCCTTTATGAGCTATCATGCCAGTATCGTTTAGGAGAATAGGTACCCGAGACGCAGACGTTTTCCTGCCATCCTCTCGAATCGTTCTTCTCGAGCTTCAAAGCCTTGTCCACATCCTCGTTCCAGACACGCTCTACAGGTGTAAGACGGGTCAACAGCAATGCCAATCAGGAGAGCCCGGGGCCTCGGATGAAGGTTGTGCAGGATGACAGCAAGGTTGTGAGGGCTATAGCGGTACTCTTCCACCTCGGTGAGGTCCATACAAGAAGCGACGTAATAAAGCGTGTTCCCGAAAATTGGCGGAATGACGCTGATTCCACGCCGATGTTCAAGGCCGATGACTACCACGGGAATATCTTGTTTCATGACGGAGTCAAGGTAAGCTCTCAGCTACGATATAGATCACCACAGACGACAAAGCACATAGGTATGTGCAGTGAAGACATATCGCAAGGCATGGACTACAGGTCTGGCTTCTCTTAACTATCTTTCGGAGCTTGGTACCTTATTTTATATGACATCATTCGATACAAGATGTCTCAGAGCACAGCCTGACATTCGCCTGCCTAGCGCCACAGCTGAGAGACGCCAGACGATCGAATGCACCGGCTTGAAGTAAATATTAGCGCTAGAATAGTGCTTATTCGCACATGCGGACCCATCGTTCACTTGTATTGATATCCAAATGCACCCAGCATCGCTTCCACTTAGGGACAGCTTCGAACCCAACTACCTACTTTGCCTGCCCACCATGCTCATAGTCGTATGCTTAGATCACCAACATCATGCTTCAATATGCGATACCACCAGCCTTCAAAGACAAATTGGAGATCGTTACTACTCACGACCAGCGATCGGACGACGAGATCTTTGAATCTCTACGCCGCCACGTACCTGTTGTAGGCGAGAAGAACGTATGGTCCTACTGGGATGGCGGATTTGATCAACTACCATCGTGGTGTAGGCGCAACGTGATTGATTGGGTTCGCATCTGCGGTCCAGACTGGACTGTCCGCGTTCTTGACAACGTCCCAGGATTGCCCAATCATGCCTTGGAGTTCGCACCAAAGGAGATGCTTCCCAAATGCTTTATCGAGGGTACCATGACTGGGAAGCATGTCGGGCAACATTCATCTGACATGATCACTGGGGCGTTGTTGTACACCTACGGCGGTGTAAAGATGGATGTTGGATGCATTCTTCTCCGTGACTTTAATCGTGGTTTGTGGTCTGTCTTGGAGGATCCTGAGTCACCATACGAGATCGCCGCGCCAATTCAATTTGCGCAGTATTTGGCGAATCACTTTCTCGCGTCGAGAAAGGCCAACACGTTTATCAAAAGATGGTTAGTAAACTTCTACTCCATGGGATATATCAAGAAGCGGAAACAAGTTTCTTCATCATATCTTGTATGCTGACCAAGTCAGGCATGACCTTTTCATTCATCTTTGGGAAGACCGTGAAACTAGTGAGGGCATAAACACCCATCCACTGTTAAGCCAAGTGAAAGAAAGCTTTTCCCTTTCTGAATCCAAGAGCAAGGGCTCAAGTGGGACTTCAAGGTCTCTTTTGAGGAGCTCCTAGATTATGTCTCCCGGAATGCGTGCTGGGCACGAGTGTGTATGGTTGAGGAGAGCGATGACGATTCTTTCAATGCATCTGAGTACTGGATGTCGCATGTCCTCGCCATCGACGTGCTACAAGAGCACTGGGCGGCGAAGACTCTCATCGGTGGTGAGAACTTCGGGGAGCATCTCTATGAGTTGTTAGCGCTCCGTCTTGACACTGACCCACAATCAGAGCGACACAAAGAAGCCTCGAAGTTGGTGTAGACACTGGTCTCTGAGACTAGCATGCAAAAGATATCCCGAGGCTCAGGTCTCGTGAACTCTCTACAACCTGGAAGTGTATGGGATAATAAACCAGGCACAGATTGCCAACCAGGCACATTTGGAGGCTTGTTGCGGTATGGTGCGATAAATTTCACTCAGAAACGACAGAAACCTGCGGTGAGAAAGCCAGAGAAAGCAAAGACGATATTGCGAAAGGGGCTTCTTGAGCCTTGAAGAGGTTAATTCTATAAGTAAAGACTGGCAATAGAATTAGTCAACTGGAGAGCTTGGTAGATTCGAAAAGCGTCGCACGGCAAATAGTCGAGAGGGGCCTATCAAGAGAAGCTTCTTGTGCAAGACTGTTACCAATCCCCGAAGGATTTCAGAATCCCAAAGTTCCTATGCAGTGAGACAAGAAGCATAATCGCGGCGTCCACACACTTGCCACCCAAAAATCGCTCATCAACAGCCTCAAGAGTTCCCCGCCTTTCAAACCTAATCAACTGACCCAACTACTCGGTCATGTCAGACTTCCAATATCACACACCTGCCTATCAACGTAAGTAGCCAAGCCTTTGATCACCTTCCAGAAGCAGACAGCTCGAGAAACTAGGTGCTCGGCGAGTTTCTTGGACCAAATTGACCGTTGCTGCGCACGCCTGGGAAGCTTAGACAGCTGGGGGGTCGCCAAGACCGCCAAGGTCAGCTTGGTCCCTATCGTATGGAACCAAGCTCTGCTTATCATGTACTCTCATATTGGCCAAGCTTTTACGGTAGTATCGGTCAACCTTTGGTGCTTCCCTCCGCTCGGGTTCGATGGGCGACATGTGAGGCCCCGTGCCTGGATTTCGCCAGCCTCCCCTAAAATCACGACTACCATGGCATTCTCCACACCAACGTCTGCCATGCGGGGGACGAGAAAGGCCGTCTTATTAGTTGATCTTGGATGATGACGAACGCCATTGGAGATGTCGAGTACTTATATATCGAGTGGCTACTCCGCCATAGGAAAGTTCGTGGCACCCCTAGTCTCATCGTCAAGTCTGTGTCAAGCAGTGCTATTCTTTGATTGAGTCACTTCACAAAGACATTATCAACATGGTCCGCGTCAACTCTGCAGCCCTTCTGGGCTCTGCCATTGTTGGTTTGGCTAGTGCAGCTGGCGCTGGCACTAAGGCCGAGTATGCGTCCGGTGCTGTTCACCACCGCATCATGGGCATCAAGATGGTGAGGCCTCCCTCCACAACTACCTCTTAAGGTTGACAAAGCTTTGTTAATAACGAAATAGGCTCAATGGGAAGAAGAAGCCGCCGCTGGCCTCATGGACAGTGCCAAGTACCCCGAGCTCGGCTACACCCCCTGCGTCGACGGCTTCGCTGCCGCAGTTCCCGGTGACTTCAACAACACCTTCAGATGCAGAAATGTAAGTTTACTAAGCTTGTCTAGGAGGCTGAACTAATCATCTTCAGATCGATTTGTACCACTTCTTGTCACACGAGCAGCTCGGCAGCTGGGGCGGAAGAGGTTCTTCTTCTTGGGGTTGGACTTCGGCAGACGGAAGAGAATTCGTCGCCATTGGACAATACGACGGCACCGCCTTTGCTGAAATCAGCAAGGAGGGCAAGCTGGTGTACTTAGGCCGTCTGCCTCAATACGATTCCATCGGTTCCAACTGGAGAGAGATCCGAATTGTCGGTGACCTTGCCGTCATTGGCTCCGAAGCCATCAAGCACGGTGTCCAGTTCTTCGACATGAAGAAGATCCTCGACCTCGATCCTGCGAACCCAAAGAACTTCACCCAGGCCGAGCTTACCGGTCATTGGGACGAACTCCCCGTCGGCCGTACCCACAACATCGTCGTGAACCAAGAGCTCAACTACGCCATTGCCTGCGGTTCCGTCGGCGGTAACGCGACGATTCGTGTTAGAGACAACCTCCCCTGCCGCGGCGGGTTGATCTTCCTTGACATCAGCGATCCCACCAACGTCACCAGCCCCGGCTGCGCTGCCGGCGATGGCTACGTCCACGACGCTGAGTGCCTTGTCTACCGTGGCCCCGATACCCGCTACTACGGCAGAGATATCTGCTACGGTTACAACGAAGACACTTTGACCATCTACGATGTCACCGACAAGACCGGCAACGTCACCAACATCATCTCCATCAGCGACTACCCCGGCGCTCAGTACGTCCACCAGGGTGTCGTCAACAACGAGACGTGGCAAGAGTACATCTTCCTGGACGACGAGTTCGACGAGCGTGACGCCAAGGTCGGCCCGATGACCCAGGGCCTTCCCACCACTCACATCTTTGACATCCGCGACCTCGAGAAGCCCGTCTACACCGGCCACTACGCCGGCAAGACACGCTCCATCGACCATAACCAGTACATCGTCGGCGGCTATCTCTACCAGTCCAACTACGGCAACGGCCTGAACGTCATCGACGTCAGCAGCGTCACCAAAGACCCCACCGGCGCCAGCATCTGCGAAGCAGGCTTCTTCGACATCTACCCCGAAGACGACGAGGAAGTCGGCGGCGGCAAGGTCCAGTTCGCTGGTTCCTGGTCATCCTACGCCAACTTCAAGTCCGGCTTCATCTTTGTCCATACTATCGAGCGCGGTAGTTTTGTTGTTAAGATGACTTCCAAGGAGTGCCCCAAGGCACCCGTCTGCAACGCTGATAATTGCCTCCGTGCTCTGCGGGCATCGTCCATTCCGGATCGCTTGGAGGAATCTGTCGAGTTCTGCGGCAACTTCACCCAGCGACTGAACACCGATGATGAGCTGCTACCAGAGTATGCCACCAGTGCTTGTGTCGAGAATAAGAACAAGAGCCCCGTTGAGAGGGTTAGCAGCGCTTGCGCATGTATTCCTACCCCTGTTGTGCCTGAGTTGCCGAGAACAACGACACGGCCTCCTGTACCGACGGTGCTGCCCCCCAAAGCTTGAAATGGCATTTTTTCAGGTATTAGTAATAGGAATTAGTGATAGACAAGAAGCAAGCAAGCGAGCTTCGAAAGGGTTGCAATCATTCGGTATTTGCCCCAGCATTGATTATGTGACGAAAAAGCGAGATTTTAACATTCAAGCATAGTATTCAAGCATTGCATGCTTCTAATATCTCAACTTCCTGAAGCGTTGCATATCCCTACTTATGTATCTAAAGGAGAGTTGTGTGTCATGTCCGCGACTTCCGCGACCGAAGATTAGGATTATCAATGTATACGATGCATTCCCTTTGACCAAGGCTCATTATATTCGGGGCAGATGAGGTCCAGCTCAAACCAGTAGTGCTCCATCTCATGTAATCCATATGGGTTCCCAGACTGGCACTTGTCGCTCTCGGTTGGTTCATCCCATACAACGCCAATTTCTTCAGCATCTCGTCTTTCTGATTCTGACAACTCCCCGCCATCAAGCGCTTCCAACTCCTGTGTCATTCGATTAACCCAGTAAGATTTCCAAAACTGAGGGAACAACGGAAGATTATCCATCCCATCCCCTAAATATCCGCTGGCTTTCTGCGTAAATTCCACAACCAATTCTTCGTACAAATCAATCAGGAAATCCTGGTCTTCGGTGATCTCTGTATCATCTATTTCAACCCAAGCTGCCCCCTCCGGGACCAGAGAATAAGCGTTGCAACATCTGTGGGCGAGACCTATCGTCTCAAATGTCATGAACCTAATCGTCTCTGCATAAGTTAAAAGTGTTAACTCCGGGCCGCATGAGCTGTAGTAATCTGCTACTGTTTCCGCGCGATAAACAAGTGCCTGCTCTGGTATTGCCGTTTTGGCTTCAGACTTAACAAAACCTTTCATCATCCACGTAAAAGGACTGCATCCTCCCGTTGAGCAAAGACAGCGACAGCCGTCCGTGAGATTGCGGTAAGCAACGGTGGTTCTCAACGTTTCAAAGGCAGCTGAAACTTGAACTGTCACTCGATAGCTTTTTAACCAATCCCGGTAGTTTCTGCCTAACAGGTAAAAGACGTAGTGCGCGGCGAACACTCCATCATTGGCGGTCTTGTTGAAAGGGCCTGCGGATGATCGCAAGAATAGATCTCCCCCGTTCCTAAAAAGCCAACAAACCATCTCCGGATGAAGAGAATTCCGAAGACCGAATGCATTCGGGTGGCGAAGCTGGAGAAACACAGATGGTTCGGGCATGAATGCGTGACGGTAGAACAACTGGGCGAGATGGACGGAAGTAGTTTTCTGGAATATCCAGTCTGATCTAAAGCCTATGGCTTCGTCAGCCCCATTGCGGATTTGCGGCCGTCTTGAGTCCTGTGAGATGCTTCGTTGGATGTCGGTTGTTGGCTTCTTTTCGCCGACTTTTTGTTTCGTGAATAGACTTTCTTTTGTCCAAGCGTGTCCTGGTCTTCGCAGACTTCGGGATTTTCTCATTTGGAAAATGTAATGACGCCGAGCGAGCTCTGACGAACCCTCTAGGACATCACTTAGACTTGGTGGATTATTACCCACTTTCCGTATTTCATGCGTTCGAACAAGATTGCAACCGGCGTCTAGGAGATATTTCACGCATAGATAGCAGGAACATCCTTTGCACCTTGCATATTCACTGCCGTTGACGCAGTGCTCTGAGCTAAGCACCATGGCGGTTTCAAGTGCATTGGCACCTGTACTATCTCGCTGATTCAGAATGCTGAGATCCGCAACTTTCACGAGCTTTCCTAGAATTTCTGGCTTCGCTGCTGCGATATGAAGTGGGCTACGCCCGTATATATCAAGCTCAGCTACTGAGTCGGGGAGAAGTCTCAGGACACGATCTACTTCATCCAAATCATTGTTGATAATCGCTGTGCTTAAAGGGCCGCATTCAAAAGCTGGTTCTCGATTAGCTAAGTGTATGTTGCAAGTCCTGGGGAATGTCCGCACCTGTTGCAACCTCAGTGAACTTTTCAAGATGCAACATGCTCCGAGGTATCACAATCAGGAAGTTGGTGATGCGAGAGAGAATCCGATTCGAGATGGCTGGCTGGCTTTCAAAGTTGGCCTTTGATAAGGCCTTGACAGCATCCCCATTCCAATCGCTAACTCGATACGTCACGTAATGTAAGGGCGAGAGCCCTGTAATAAGTTAGCCATCTTTTGACTTTGCACACATGACTAAGTACAGCGACTTGCCTCCGATATCGTATGAAAATGCTGGCACGCCAAACGAGAACAGAATCGGGAAGATTTCAACAGCCGTTTTCATCTCACTAGTGCTTTTACCGCCATGGTACCAGGACATGTCACTTATCTATCAGATAAACTTTTAGCAAATAGCTATAATCTCGGGTAGAATGGCCGCACCAACGAAGCAGCATGGTGCATCAAGGTCATATTCTGATCGTCCACAACTGTCGGGTAAGTTCGTTTGTCTTCGAGTAGTTTTGCAAGCTTTCTCAAGCAAGCAAAGAAGAATATCTCTCTTTGATTCGTCACAGAATAGTAGTAGAAGCTTCTCTTCATCACACTGATCAAACGAAAAGCGGGATCCGACCTGACGTCAGCAGTCGGATAATAGGTGAAGTTGGGACTGATGCTGCAGCCCCCAGCTCCTGACGTCAAAGCAAACGAAATTTCGATGACTGATTTCATGAGGCGAGAGACGCCAGTGTACTTCAAGCTTGCCTTGAGTCGATGCTTTCTCGGCGTTTTTGAGAGTGGGCAACTCGACCAGTGACCCCGGGATTCCCACTCGCTGGACAAGTACGTGTAGCCTCGTTGCATCTGCATTTGCATGTATGATCTTTCGGTGTGCGGGCAGATGCATATTTTGCCAACTCCCAATCCAATTCGCAAGTTTCGTGATGGATCTGATGAAGTTCTTTCCCGATGGCTTTTCGATAGTTGTGCAGCGTTGCCTAGGTTGCAGCGGTTTCCCGACAAGTGTATGTCATCGCACAAACTTTTGAGTACTGCCGGCTTGGAAGCCGCTTTGAGAGCCAATGCCCGTAGAGAACTATTCTCGTCTCCCAGAAGCTGTACTTTTTGATCGATTGTCTTGAGATGCTCTACAATCGAGTTATGTGAATGCTGAAGGTCATATCTGACACGCTGGCTGCTCTCGTGAACCTCGATTTCGATAGCTCCGGAATGAGCCACGATGAGTTGCCTTGTCTGGTCCACACTACTTTGTAGACCTGGCAGCTTGTCATTGATGTCGCCCACAGGCGTACCAAGTGCTGCTACTCCTGACCGGACTAGGAGCATTCCAGAAGCTTGGTCGCGAGAACGCGATTGGATAGCCGCCAGTAGAGCTATGTTCTTGTTCGAGTTTTCCCTACTGCCGTGTCAGAAATCGTGGGAACGGAGAGAAAGTCCATATCAACTTACAGTCCCAAGCTACCCTGTATCAACTGTAGAGCACCATGAGCCTTTTGCAGCTGCAGCTCAAGGTCTCGAAGTTTGGGTCGATGGAACGCAAAAGTCACCTTCTTCTTCTTGTTCCCCAGCCGGTTCGTCCAGGTGCTGCCAGCGCGATCAGAAAGCTGGATACATAGAGCTTCGACGGCGCGAAGGTCCTCCTCGCAGCCTCGTATGTTCTGATCTAAGGCAGCAGCAACTGCAGTACTTTGGCCTTGCAGACCAGCTAACACCGTCTTCATTGCACGGAGAGTGACTGCCAGGTTGTCATTCTGTTTCTTGACGTTTCGTAGTTCATCTTCACGGCCTTCGAAGGCGTCCATGTACTTGACGATGCCTCCAGTGATCTGCAAGCCTAGAGATAGCAGGCCGGCAACCGAGGCTGCGAGGCCTACGCTCTCGGCCGCCATATCTTGTCAGAGCTCCGAGCGATTGTGGAAGATGCTTTTGGCAACTCTCGGGGAAATAGGCTAGCCCTTGATTGATAGTGCTTTTACTTTTGCGAAGAAAACTGCGATGAAGAAATCAGGCTACCTGCTGACGCTATTGGGTGTTTTGTGGAGGTGTCAAGATCAGGCTGGCATGCACTTTCCTTGTGAGGGCTTGAAACCAACAGGCTTGCCTTTGGAGAGAAGGGTTCTCATTCGCTGTATCCATGGCTTCATGATTGGATGCTTTACACCTGCAGCTCGGTACCTTCTCGAAGTAATGCGCGTTGGCTCATCCCCGGCTTCATTGCAAATTATTAGATAGGTATTTTGGTGGTTTCAAGCCGCCGTGCGATCGGCAATTCTAGCATAAGAAAAATATGCCCTGCATCACGGGGATCACTAGGTGATCTCGAACATTAATTCTGGATGATATCTAACATGAACGCCAAAAAGACATACTCGACATGGTTCATGAGAACCATACGGATTTGCACTAATCCCACCATCTAGTCAAGCTGTGTTAAGCGAGCCCAATGAAACGATTAACACACACGAAAACACGAAACTACCCAGCCTACTGAATGAAAGCAAACCATGATGAAAGGAGGATTTTGTATGGTTGATAAATAGTATTAGAGAAGGACGATGGCCTGGATAGGTTCTTCCGGTCTACGCTCTCCGTGCAATTCGAGTCCATGGTGTCTCAACTCTCGGGCCACTTGTAGCGAGCGGTTTTCAGCTTGGAAGTGCCAGTAGATGAGTTAGCTTCTCTCATATCGCCACCGTGCTAGTATTGAGTGAAACAAAAGGACTGATTCAAGACATGGGATAAAAAGAGAAGCTACGAAATCAGATGAAGGGAGTGATGAGGCTCCTCAGGTTCGTGGCGATCTTGAATGATCTTGAATGCAAGCTCAGCAGAAAGCTAATTTGAACAACAGCATGCAAGCACGGGCCTTGATGCAGCTACGAACCATCACCCCAGGGGCCGTTCGTCCGCAGCAGAGGTGCATTGGACGGTTCCCTTAGTCCGGGGAAAAGACAGGAAGTCATAGGTAGCATCCCTTGCTGAATTGGATGGATCATGGAATAGTGCTGTGACCACCAATAGCTCTGGTAGTTAATGGCAATGCTTGCTTCTTCAGTATTTCAGAAGGTGATGGCATTACGATGTCGCTTACAGTGTTGCGAAGGCCGAAAAGGGAAATTCTAACCGCCCAAGCTTTTGAACACCGCATCAGACATGTGCCAGGCTGGACCGTTTCCAGCAGTGTCAAAGACTCAAAAGAGGCAGAAAAAATGGAAGTATGAGCAAAAGGGAACAACAAACCCCCAAGACAGGTGAAACTCCTTTGAAGCGAGCGAATAGAAGTAGCTAGCGCGCATCAGCCAGCAAAGAGCAAAGAACAAAAGGGTAAAGAGAGAGACACACCGCCCGAGACAATTGACCCTGACCCTGGAATGACGATGCAGAAGCTCCTGCTTGAGTCGAGCGGATGAGAAGTGAGCTGAGAACGGTCAACCGCGGCGACATCCGAAGCCGGAAGGACCAGGGACGGGTTCATTCGTTGCGTAAGTTGCGCGCATGCGCTCCAGTCAAAAAACAGCGGGCCGGGGAAGGGGCATCGACGCATCGTGGGCGTCAAGGGCGTGGAAGGCGCGTCGGGATTCCTCCCCGTGGCGGGTAGCGGCGATACAGTAAATCCGCTCCCCCGCGATTGCACGATGCAGGTGGGTCCTCTCATGACTCGGTCCACTTACGATGCTCCTCCTCTCCTTCTCCAGGTCCGGAGTCGCACCGCACCGGGGGGCCACACCCCCTCTCTCTGCTCAGTGCAGGCTCACCTGGGAGCAATTCTGGGATGTGACTGGATTGAATTCAGGGCTGGTCGCCAAGCACCCAGCACATGAATGCCCCCAGATGGCAGAAACGGCGGGCAAGGCGCACCTGGTAGAGTCACAAGTCAGCCCATTCCTTGGTTAGACCACCCCGTCTGCAGCAGCCAGCAGCAGCTCTTTCGGCACTTCGCTGTCTCGGAATCTTTGGACACCTTAAGTTATTACGGATTGTCCTTACCTCACTGGGATCCTTTTTTTTTTCTGCCGGCCAACAGCCAAAGCTACGTCTTTTCTCCTTCTCTTCCTTCCCCTCTCAACCACATCTCTCTTCTTCCTCCTCTTCTTCTTCCATTCACATCTCTTTTTTCTTCCATCCCCGAAAGAGAAAGATAATCACGATGCTGTCCTCCACCAGAATCGCAACCCGGCAAGCTGCCGCTCGCCGCATGGGCGCTCTGCCCGTCACGGCCGCGAGAGCCGGTTCTACCTGGGCCAACGTCCCTCAAGGTCCTCCTGTATGTCTCAAACACTCTAGATGCCAATTGAATGCGCCACGAATGCTAACGAATACTGCAGGATGTAAGTGCTTGATGCGCCGATTGACAGAATCCCGACAATCACCACAACGAACTGTTTTGCTAACTGGACACTTTTTCGCAATGGACAGGCCATTCTCGGTATGACGCACGTACTTGGGTGGAGCTCCCTCGAGCTTCGCCGGTTGACTCAACTTCATGACTGACAACAGACAAACAGGCATCACGGAAGCCTTCAAGGCCGACAAGTTTGAACAGAAGATCAACCTCGGTACGCAAAGCCCCCCGCCAAGCCACTTTGACAACCACAACCACCACCCTAGCTAGAGCTGTCACAAGCTTGCTAGCTACAACGCTAGCCGGCCGTCAGCTGTCAACTACAAACACATAACGTCCATCATCACCTCATTGAACATGCCCGTTGACACAGACAAACAACAGGTGTCGGTGCCTACCGTGACGACCAGGGCAAGCCCTACGTCCTCCCCTCCGTCCGCGCCGCCGAGGAGAAGGTCATCGCCGCCAAGCTGAACAAGGAGTACGCCGGCATCACCGGTGTCCCCGAGTTCACCAAGTCCGCCGCCGTCCTCGCCTACGGCGCCGACTCCTCGGCCCTCGACCGCCTCGCCATCACCCAGTCCATCTCCGGCACTGGTGCCCTGCGCATCGGAGGCGCCTTCCTCGCCCGCTTCTTCCCCGGCGCCAAGAACATCTACATCCCCACCCCCTCGTGGGCCAACCACGGCGCCGTCTTCAGCGACTCGGGCCTCACCGTCAACAAGTACCGCTACTACGACCCCAAGACCATCGGCCTCGACTTTGAGGGCATGGTCGCCGACATCAAGGCCGCCCCCAAGGGCTCCATCTTCCTCTTCCACGCCTGCGCCCACAACCCCACCGGTGTCGACCCTACCCCCGAGCAGTGGCGCGAGATCTCCGACGTCGTCAAGGCCCAGGGCCACTACTCCTTCTTCGACATGGCCTACCAGGGCTTCGCCTCGGGTAACACTGACACTGATGCCTTCGCCGTCCGCCACTTCGTCAAGGAGGGCCACAACATCTGCCTCGCCCAGTCCTTCGCCAAGAACATGGGTCTCTACGGCGAGCGTGTCGGTGCCTTCTCCATCGTCGCAAAGGACGCCGAGGAGCGCAAGCGCATCGACTCCCAGGTCAAGATTCTCGTCCGCCCTCTGTACTCCAACCCTCCCGTCCACGGCGCCCGCATCGCCTCCACCATCCTCAACGACGCCGCCCTGAACCAGCAGTGGCTCGGTGAGGTCAAGGGCATGGCTGACCGCATCATCACCATGCGCGCCCTCCTCAAGGAGAACCTCGAGAAGCTCGGCTCCGCCCACGACTGGTCCCACATCACCAGCCAGATCGGCATGTTCGCCTACACTGGCCTGACCAAGGAGCAGATGGACGCCCTCGCCAACGACCACTCCGTCTACGCCACCAAGGACGGTCGTATCTCCGTCGCCGGTATCACCAGCGGCAACGTCGGCCGCCTCGCCGAGTCTATCTACAAGGTCAAAGGTTAAATCTTGCCATTGTGAATGTTTTTGTGATTTATCCCCATGCGAGTCTCAGTTTAGAACGCTCTCAGCTAGCTTGCATTTCTCCAAGAGATATCACGAGGTCTGTTGAAAGGGTAGTTGGTTTTCTATAAAAAGGGGGGATTTGTACAACCAAAAGGGGGAGAGGTCTTCTCTTTTGCGCAGCCAAGGTTAGAATGGCCGGTGGACATAGAACGTTTGGCACCCCTTGGTAGACCACACATGCATTCCAGCTGTGTACAATATAGCGACACGTCTTTCAATGTAAACATGTCCAATCGCTTGCTTGCTTGCCATGAACGAATTCTTTTCCCAGCTTCCTCCATTGATGCTTGATGCTTTATCACGCCTTATCCAACCTCGCCAAATCCCGACTCGCATCTTCCAACTCCCTCTCCATCTGCCTCTTCTTCCTCGCCATCTCCTTCATCGTCCTCGTCTTGCCCTCCTCCCCCTCAACCCCAACCCCGTACCCCTCCAACTCAGCCCGAAGCGTCATCAAAGTCCCCTCAAGCCTCATCCTCGCATCTCTCAAATGCGCAGAATAATTCGTCAGCGCAGCCACCATCTCGGGCGAATACACCTCCCTCCTCACCCCTTCCCTCGCAGCTACAGCATCCGCCTCGGCCCTCTCCGCCTCCAGCCCCGTCTCCGCGGCGCGAAACTCGAGACTCCGCGCCACGACGCCGTGTTTGGCTTCGAGGCTCCTAACCAGGAGCGTCAGCGCCGCGGCGTGCTCGTCTAGGCACTGTGTTAGGGTATCTGCTGCGCGAAGGCGTTCTCGGGCTAAAGCAAGTTTTGATTGGGAAATGTCGGAGGCGAGTTTGTGGTAGGTTGTTTGCAGGGCCGGTACGGCGCGGTGGAGGAAGGAAGGGTTTGTTGTTGGGTTGGCGATGCGGGCAAGGGAGACGGCGGAGGTGTGGAGGGTCGAGGAGATGAGGTCGCCGAGTTGGGGGAGGAGGGATTGGAAGTCTGTGAAGGGGGGGTTGGAGAGGAGGATTGTGGCGGATTCGGGGGAAAGGGGATCCGGAGAGGTTAGGAGGGGCGGGAGGAGGAGGAGAAGGTCGAGGAGGGGCTCGGGGAGGGTTTCTGTCGTGTTGCTGGTTTGTGGTTGTTGTGAGGAAGTGGTTGTGCGGGAGATTGTTCGAGGTGGTGCGGGTTTCGGTTCGGGGGGTGCGGTGGTTGAGATTGCGCTTATGAGGAGGTGTTCTTTTGCGGCTGTGAATCTGTGGTCTGCCAGTTCCTGGTTATTTTGGTGGTTAGCTAGGATGATCAAATTGAGATTCTGGTTCAGGGTAGCGGTAGTCTGGGTCTGGCAGCCGAGGGAATACCAACATTTTGTATCGCATCGTGCTCCTTGGTCGCCGGCTTCTTCGTTGAGCCGTCTGGGTTCAGGATGGCCGTGGTGAGGGTGTGATGCAATGCCGCGAATTCGGGGTTGTTTTGCAGGACCGATGCCTCGACTGGCGGTAGCATGGCGGGCGTTTGTTCTGCGTCGTCAGCAGGTTTGGCGCTTTTGACAGTGTCACTTGCGATCTTTGCGTCAATGGTTGTAGTCAGGCAGAGCGGGCAGTCTGTATGGCATCTGCCCACTCGGTGGCATGTCACGGTGCAAGTTAATCGTCGAGCTACCCAACTTTCCCTGAAGTCTCGGTGAGTCGGTGTGGAGGGGTCAATCGGTAAGGCACTGGGGAGCAGACCACGGACCCCTGTCACGAAAGCAGCGCGCAGTCACCTGACGCAGCTCAATTGACTTCACCTGCCAAGACCCCACTCATACAAAGACCACCCAATCAAAACTACCAATGACCGGGGAGCGGAACATCCACCGCCCGATATCGAAGCTCCGATCTCTGACCATTGGCCCAAAAAATCATCCTCAAGCTCTCACGACAATCGACCTCAACGGTGCGCCGACGACCAACGACGAACGAACGCCGCGGCGCGCATCTACCCGTTCGCATCCTTCCAACTACCTCTACATACTCCCGAAGTCACGAACGTCGCACACAATCGGTTACGGATCGACGCCCAAGATGAGCTTCACAACCCTGAGGCCGAGGACCTCCCTCCTCACCTCCCTCCAAAACCTCGCCCTCACGCCCACGACCACCACCACCTCGCGAGCCTTCTCAACCTCCTCCCCCCTCGCCACAAAAACAATCTCCCTCCAAAAGATCCCAACCTCCGCCGTACCCCCTTACCCCCACGGCCCCCGCCTCCTCTACAAACAATCAAACCACGGCCTCTATGGCACCTCCCGCATCCGCCACGGCCACAACGTCTCCCCGAAACACCACCAAGTCACCCCCCGCACCTGGCGCCCCAACGTCCACCGCAAGCGCCTCTGGTCCGAGTCCTTGGGGGCCTGGGTCCGCACCCGCCTCACCACCCGCGTCCTGCGCACAATCCGCAAGGAAGGTGGCATCGACGCCTACGTGACAAAGACAAAAGCCGCGCGCGTCAAAGAGCTCGGCCCCGGAGGCTGGAAGCTGCGGTGGCTTGTTATGCAGACGTCTACGTTCCGCGAGCGATATGTCGCCGAGAGGGAGAAGCTCGGCGTCGAGGGGGAGATGAGGGAGGATCAGACGGATTTGGTCACCGTCATGGTTGATGCCGCTACGCCGGGCCCCCTGAGCGCCGTGAGCAGGGGGATTCTCGAGAAGAGGGCTACGCAGATGATTATGGAGGAGTTCGCGCTGGGCGAGGAGGCCGAGTTTGGGGCTGAGGATGGCGAGGGGTACGAGGATGTTCATGTGCCTGGTATCGGAGAGCCCGTCACTGAGCACAGGATATGATTTTGAGTCTGGTGATGGTCACTTGTTACAGCAAAAGAGAGTGTATGTTTCGGGAGAGAAAAAAAAGTCATTGTATCATATGTACAAAAATTCCCATGTCATCAAACTACTTTTTAGAGGATCTCAAGTCTAGAAAATGAGCCTCCTTTTCTTGTTTGTGTCTACAAAAACCGCTTTCCATATTTTGAATCCACAGACCGTTAAAGTGCAAGTTTCGCCTCATACGCCCTGCAATGTGTGATATGCCATTCATAAATCCCGTTTCGCCCCTTAGTCATTGCTCCCCATGTTTAGAAGCGCAAATCCCAGCCAATCTTGGGGCCCAGCTTGGGCAGCTCGTCGGCGACGCTCTGCACATCCTTGTCACCACGACCACTCAGGCAGATGACGATATCCTCGCCCTTCTTCATCGTCTTGGCGAGCTCGATGGCACCGTAGATGCCGTGCGCCGACTCCAGCGCAGGGATGATACCCTCCAGCTGACTCATAAGACGGAAGCCAATGAAGGCCTCGGCATCGGTGGCGGCGACGTACTTGGCGCGCTCACTGTCCTTCCAGGAGCTGAGCTCGGGGCCGACACCAGGGTAATCCAGACCGGCGGAGATGGAGTGCGTCTCGGCGACCTGGCCGTGCTTGTCCTGGAGAATGTAGGTCTTGACACCGTGCAGGACACCCTTGCTGCCACCGGAGAGGGTGGCGCTGTGGCGCGCGGTATCGATGCCATCGCCACCAGCCTCAACACCGAGGAGCTTGACGCTAGGGTCGTTGGCAAAGGGGTAGAACATGCCGACAGCGTTGCTGCCCCCGCCGACGCAGGCGACGACGGCATCGGGCAACTTACCCCTCTTCTCGAGCATCTGTGCCTTGGTCTCGTTACCGATAACAGACTGGAAGGTACGGACGATGGTGGGGAAGGGATGCGGGCCGATGGCGGAACCGATGATGTAGTGAGTGGTGTCGAGCTCGACAACCCAGGCGCGCATGGCCTCATTGACGGCGTCACGGAGGGTCTTGCTTCCGGCCTCGACGGCGACAACCTTGGCGCCGAGGAGCTTCATGCGGAAGACGTTGAGGGCCTGGCGGCGGACGTCTTCGGCGCCCATGTAGACTGTGCACTCCATACCGAACTTGGCGCAGACGGTGGCCGTGGCGACACCGTGCTGGCCGGCGCCGGTCTCGGCGATGATCTTGGTCTTGCCGAGGCGCTTGGCGAGGAGGAGCTGGCCGAGGGCGTTGTTAATCTTGTGGGAACCGGTGTGGTTGAGATCCTCACGCTTCAACCAGATGTTGGCACCGCCAGCGTGCTCCGTGAGGCGCTCGGCGAGGTGGAGGTGGCCGGGACGGCCCATGTACTCGTAGTAGGAACGGTACTCCTCCCAGAAAGAAGGGTCGTCCTTGATCTTGTTGAAGCCCTCCTCGAGCTCAGACAGGCAGTCCATGAGAGACTCAGGAACGTACTGGCCTCCAAAGTCACCGAAGCGGTCGGGGATCTTGCCGTGCATGGCGGCAAGCTCGGCGACGAGCTCGCTGTCCTGGTCGGCGGTGATACGATCGTCAACTGTGGGCTCGTCGGTGGGCTGCTTGGCGGCGGCCATGGCCTCGACCATGCCAACCTCGCGTGTGGTCTCATCAGAGTCGCGGCCGCAGAGGTAGGAGCAGTACTTTGCAACGTCGTTGAAGAGCTCGCCAGGGGCAGCTTTTTGGAGGGTTGTGATGATCTGGGAACCGACAACAACTCCGTCGGCGAGCTGGGCGACGCTGAGGAAATGGTCGCGGGTGCTGACGCCGAAACCGACAGCAGCAGGCTTGTTGCCGCTGTACTTCTTGACGCGGGCAACGAGGTCGGGGAGGTTGGCGTTCATGGAACCGAGGGCACCGGTGACACCCTGGCGGGAGACGACGTAGATGAAGGAGTCGGCCAGCTTGCAAAGAATCTTCATGCGGGCGTCTGAGGTTGCGGGAGCGATCAGGGGAACATATGAGAGTCTGTTGTGGTTTCGTTCGTCAGTATGGAATGATTGAGATGGACAGAAGCGGTGTGTGAACGTACCCTCCCTTGGTGCAGAGCTTGCGGAAAGAGATGGCCTCCTCAGGAGGCAAATCAACCACGATGAAGCCGTTGACGCCCGATGTCTTGCAGTCGTTCAGGAGTCTCTCTTCGCCATAGCTGAGAAGGGGGTTGTAGTATCCCATCAACATCACAGGTGCCTTCAGGCCCTGGTCGCGGGCGTCCTTGACCATCTTGAGTGTTGACTCGATCGTGACGCCATGTTGCAGAGCCACCTGTTGTTCCTCGTCAATCCTCGCTGGACACCCAATTGGTTCCCATTCTGGCCACTACTCACGGTGTTTGATGTCTGGATAGT